GTTCATGTGGCTCCTACTCAAGTTTGCCAGCTCCCCCCACTCCTGGGGTCCCTCCCCGGCCCAGAGTTGAGTGACCAGGCTGAACCCTCAGCAGAGGAATCACAGCAGAGGCTCCTAAGGGCAGGCAGTGCCTCGGCCAGGAGAGCTCTGCCCTCTCCTCCTTCTGGGGCTCTGGGGCCCCCTGGGCCCCGCTGGATCCTGCTGCTCCTGAAAGCAGCCTCCCTGCCCTCCCCTCCTTCCATCCCCGGCACAATGTGGGGGAAAGGAAGTCTGGGTGTTGCTATTACTACCATTTCACAGAGGTTTCTCGTCTTCCTCAAGCCTCTTGCCCTTGATTCTTGGCCCATTCCAGTCCATTCTCCACATGGTCCTCACTATGATTTCTCTTTTTTTAAAATCCAAAGTACAAATATAGACCTGTGGTGTCCTGCTTAAAATTCCCCTCATGGCTCCTAGTTGCTTAAGGCAACGTTCAGAAAACTTCTGCGAAGGGCCACGCAGTAAATATTGCGGGTTTTTGTCTCTACATATAGAGACAAAAATGGTGGCTTACTGTGTAGGCACGTACAGAACAAGAGGGAGAGCAAACTTCGAGTTTTTTGTTTTGTTTTGTTTTGTTTTAAGATTTTATTTATTTATCTGACAGAGAGAGATCACAAGCAGGCAGAGAGGCAGACAGAGAGAGAGGAGGAAGCAGGCTCCCTGCTGAGCAGAGAGCCCAATGCGGGGCTCGATCCCAGGATCCCGAGACCATGACCTGAGCCGAAGGCAGCGGCCCAACCCACTGAGCCACCCAGGCGCCCCCCTCGAGTTTGTTTTATCAGTGAAATTACACGTAGGTGTTTTTGGAATCTAGTTTTACTCAGGAGAATAGGTTTCTTTCTTGGTACAGGTAAGACTTCCCTTAGTGAGGGCTCAGTTAATGTTCCCTATACTCCAATCGATTTACAATCACTTGTAAAATGATGACAGGTTTTATGACTATCTGTAAACACCATTTTTAACTTGGCGTATATCCTTAACTGTAATGAAATAAACACAGACAGTGCACTGGCCATTGTTTGGGACCCCTGCTTGAAGGATCACGTCTCTGCCCCTTAACTTACAAACATGGCTGCCAAGACTTGTCCCCATATCTTTCTCAGATGATTTCCTGCCAGATGGTCGGCCCTAACTAGTTTTTGCTTCTTAAAGAGGCTTTACTCTCTCACCCCCGAACTTCTTCTTCGCCCCATTTCCAACCTGGGAATTCCTGTCTCTGTTGGGCTACACTCTTTTTTAGGACTACTTATCTGTGGACACCTTCCCTAAGCCCCTTTCCTCCCACAGATCTCGGTGTGGACCTGGAGAATTTAGCACATGATACCACAGTTGGGGGTTTACAATCTGTAACTCCCTCATTGGCCTGGAACATTCTCAGGGAGGAAGCTATTGGATGCCTAGTGGACCCATTGCACGTGTTTCAACAACAGGGAGGGGCTCTCTCTGGGACCCTGTCTCAGGTTTTCTGACTATGGGACTATGTTTCCTGCACCGTCTCCACCCTGGGCCACCCAGCCACCATGAGGGAGCCATGTTCTTACAACCAACCAAGGCCCTGGCCTCATCTGATTGATCCAGGGTGAGCACTTGATTCAAGTCAGGTCTATAGCCCTTTCCTTAGGATCTTTCAAGCTATGACTGGGAAATGGCGCAGGGGTAGGAAGTAAAACTGGAGGGCTGGCAGCCATGATCTCCATCTTAAAGGAAGACTGCCATGACAGGCAGGAGTCTGGGGCAGAGATAGCCTTGGAACATTCTCCTGAGGCTTAGCTGTGTCCTGCTTTGCTAATCATCTGCTTATTGGCCTTTCCCTGGAAACCATAAGACAAGAGATACCCCTTTATACCTGAGCTGGTTTGACTGTTTTCTTTCAGTGGTAATCCAAAGACTCCTTCTTACTCTGATCTTGGCATTCTCCTCACCGGGTCACTGGTTCCCCAATGTTTTTTTTAAGGATAGGAAGTCTTCATTCAAACAAAATCTTGCTGAGAAGCCCGAGGTGAACCAGGAGAAGTGCAGAATAGATTACCTCGTCTGTACCTCTTCGTGCCAAAGCCCCACTCCGCCAACTCCTGACCTTACAGTCAAGGCTGAGACACTCAAGTCTTTGTAAAAAACAGAAGTAAAGGTATCGACTCTTCAAGTCGCGATAGGGCTTAAATAAGTCAATATGTGTAAATCATTCAGCACAGTTCAGGGGATATAACAATCAGTTAATAAGTATGAGCTCAGAAGTGGAAGATGGAGAAGCCCAGGGCAACTGCCATCTTAGCTTCCCTCCTCCATCTTCCCTCAATAATGTCTTTGGCACATGTATAATGTTTAGATTATCTGAAATGATCAGTTTAACATATCTCCCTGCTCAGACTGGAAAGTCTCATGGAGACAAGAAGCATATTTGTCTTGATCATTGTTTTTCCCCAGGTCTGCTGAGCACAGCTACTGGCGCACAAAATGGTGACTGATAACTACCATTGACTGTGTGATAATTGATACATGTATCCTGTTGTTAAAAACTAGGCACCATGCATGTTACCAAATCTGATGCCTTCTGCCACAGATTCAGAAAAGTCCTAAGAAGAGAAGAAGGCTCAATGCATAGGGCAGCCCACTCAGAACTAAAGTTAATTCTTTTGGTTTGGTCAGTTATGTTACTTAGAGGTTCCCAGGATTTCCCCATTTTAACACTAATTCATGTAATGAAAACACAACATGACAAAATTTATGGGATACATTTAAAGCAATAAGAAAAGGAAAAGCCACAGCCTAAAACACTGTCTCAGTAAAAATGAAAACAAATGAGTTCAAGTCCCAATTCAAAAAGGAAAAACTCCAAAAAAGTAAAACAAAGTAAGTCATGAGAAAAGAAAAAATAAAGATAAAATCAGAAATTAGTGAAACAGAATAGGAAGGCAATTGACTATGGAGTTTGAAAAACTGACAAAATAGACAAACCACTAACTAACTCAGTCAATGGAAAAAGTGAGGAAATCCAAATAAAAAATGAAGAAATTATAATGAGAAGAGAACTATGAAAAAAGCAGAGATTTTAAAAATTCATGAAATTACTTTACAAATCTCCATGCAAATCATTCTGAAAATGATAGATAAATACAGTTCACTAAAATGACCTCATCGGAGATAGAAAGCTTCAAAAGAGCAATTTTTTATAGAGAAATAGAGAAGATTATCAAGAAATTCCCTGCCATTCAAAAATAGCACCAGGCCTAAAAAGTTTCACAGGGGGTACAAACCTTCAAAGACTAGATAGTTTTAGTGTGTGCATAAATTCCTTCAGGCATAGAAAATAAAGGTAAATTTCCAAATTATTTTTATGAAGCAAATATAACATTGTTACTTAAACAAATATCACTTACCAATACTTGTGCAAAAAATCCTAAAATAAATATTAGCAAACAAATCAACATTATATTGAGAAAATAGTTCAATATGACTATGGGGATTTATTACAGGAATACAAGGTTGGTTCAATATTATAATAAAATACACCATATTAAGTGATCTAAAAAGAATCATATGATTATTTCCATTGATGCTGAAAAAGTCTTTGATAAAAATCTAGCACTTATTTCTAATAAAAAATACTCATGAAAATAGAAATCGACAGATATTTCCTTATCATGATAAAATATATAAACCTTAGTCCAAAGCCAGCATCTACTATATGAAGAATCATTATAAATATTTCCACTAAGATCAGAATAAGAATGCCTATTATCTCTACCATTACTTATTATTGTACTGGAGGTATGAGCCAATGCAATTAGACAAGAGAAATCAATTAGAGGCAAAAGAATTGGAAAACGGAAAGTAAAAGTATTTGCAGATGATGTAATAGTACACCTGAAAAACTTGAAAGAACTGATGCTCAAATGAACTCAAACAAGAAAAGAATTAAGCAAGATAGCAAAATAAAATTAACAGAGAGAAACCAACAGTTTGCATACACATATACACACACATACATATAATATTAGATAGAACTCCATTTATAACAGCATTATGATTAAGGAAGAGGAATGTTTAGAAATCAGCCTAATAAGAAATGTGCAGAATTTATACAGGTTACACTTTAAAATGTGCCTGAATGATCCATAAGTAGACATGAACAAATATAAAGACATCCCTTGTTCTCAGTCTTCCAGAAGTTTATAAATAACATGATCCTCCAAAAAATACCACCAAACTTCTTATGGAGCTAGGCAGGTTGATACTAAAATTCATGTGGAAAAATAAATACGCAAAAATGTTTAGAAAACCTGATACTCTAGGGAGATAAAAAAACCCTGAGGGGAGTGGTGTTCTACCAGCTATTAAATCACGCTATGAAATCTCTATAATTAAGACAATGAGGCACTGGAATTCGAATAAACAAAAAGACAAATGGAAGAGACCAGAAATGGAAGAGACCAGAAATCCAGAAATCCACTCTAGCATACACAGAAGTGTAGTACATGATGAACGTGTTCTCTCAAATCACTGGAGCACAGATGGATTCTTTGACAAAGGGTGTTGGGCAACTGGGTATCCATTTGAAAAAAAGATAATGTTAGATCCTTACCTCACACCTTCCACACAAACAAACCCCCGATTTAAAAAGAAACTAGAAGAACACAAGAATTCAAGAATTCCTCCATAAACTGACTCTACAAAAAGAGTACAATAAAATAAAAGATTGATGAGTGGCCTTAGGCAAAAATTTGAAAATAACTGCATGCTAAAATAAAAAAATCACTGATAATTCATTTAACAACATATGTGTATAAGAGGATGACTCTACTGTTTATCCAAGAAGTGTTGTCTTAGCTTGGCTGCAGAAGTGGTCATCTTACCTAAATGAGCCACTGATAAAGTGTCACTTAAAAACAGAATGGTAGAGGGAGAGAAAGTTCGCCGTGGGGAGGGTTTAGCCAGGTTAGTATTGAGTCCAGCTTTACCTTCTTCAGTTTCCTGTGGGCCCCAGCGTGGTTCCCCTGGGCCAGGTCGGCCCCACCCAACAACCGGTAGGTCTCGGCTACCTCAGGACTGAGATCACCACACACTGCCACTTTGGCTTCCAGGGACTCTCTCAGGATCGAGGTTGCTTTCTGTGACAGGAACAAAGGTTAAAGTTTGGTTAGAAAGTTCAAAGGCTCATAAAGAAAAATGCCCCTTAAGAAAATGATGTAACTGGGGACAGCCGGGTGGCTCAGTTGGTTTAAGAGTCTGACTCTTGGATTCGGCTCAGGGAATCGAGCCCCGAGTTGGGCTCCACAGTCAGCATGAGTCTGCTGGGATGTTCTCTCCCTCTGCCCTTCCCCCCACCACTCACACGCTCTCTCTCTCTCTCTCAAATAAATAAATAAATCTTTTAAAAAAAGAAAATGGGGGTGCCTGTGTGGCTCAGTTGGTTGGGTGGCTGCCTTCGGCTTCTGTCACAATCTCCGGGTCCGGGAACTGAGCCCCACATTGGGCTCTCGGCTCAATGGGGAGTCCCTCTGCCTCTGCCTCTCCCCTGCTCATGCTCTCCCTTATCAAATGAATAAATAAAAGAAAATGTTGTAACTGATGTGTATTTTCACTCTTCAGGGATTGGGTTTGGGTTGTGTCCCATGAGCTGAGCCTACTTTCCCTAAACAGAACACAGGAAATGGCATATATATGGGGCAGGGAGATGTTAACCACAGAGGGAGAACACACAAAAGACACATGGAGAACAAAGCCACCCCAGGTATTACGGGAATTCATTTTAGCTGAGTAGTAAGAACAGAAGCTAACAGGTAAAACTGCACTGAGCAGTTTACCTGCGTGAGCTCATTTAATTCTGTCTCTTTCAGATAAGTATTAATCCTCACTGAACAGAGGAGGAAACTGAGGCACAGAGCAGTCGAGAAACTTGCTCAGGATCAGACCGCTCCCCAGTGTTTGACCTGGAACCTGAATCTGGCCCATAATTTTAATCCTTTTCAGTTGCAGGCTCTTTTTCCTCTGCGCACAGAGACGTTCTTACATAAGTGAAAATTAGAGTTTCCTGGTAATTCATGTACTTAAAAAACATCCAGAACATATTCCAGATGTTTCTATTTCTCATAAGAAATACTTTAGGAAACCAAAAGCAAACATTCTAACATGGCAAAAAAAAAAAAAAAATTGAATATATTTGACATTTTGTGTGCTTTATCAGATTTATTTACGCCAACATCGAATAAAACACATGCGTTGGTCAGAAACCAGGATCTTCTGATATTAATCTCTTCAGTCAGACCCCAAGACATACAGAGGGAAAGCCCTGCCTGCCCATTGCCCACATGTCTCCTGAAGTTCTTCCATGGTCTTGTACGTCCACGAAAGCATGATTACGGCTACGAGACACAAACGCTGAATTTCAGAGCCAAATAAGGCTGGAACCAGTTAAAGAGCTTCCCCATACAGCCCTGAAGGCATCCTGATAAACCTTCCACAGATAGAAGGAGCTGGCAAAGCTTTACTCAGTTTATGGGCAATAATACGAGTTAAGTGCTAAGGGTGGGGTGTGGGGTGTGAAACGGCCAAGGCACCGATAAGGCAGAAACAATTTCTTCACGGAAAGATGGAATCACCCTCGGAGGAGAGAAACTGTAAATTGTGAAGTGTGTGACCTACCTTGGTGTGTGGGGAACTTGCCTGATGCTGAAGCCCATTATGTCCTTTGTACGTCCCACCCTCCACCCCCAGCATCTGTGAACGAGGATTTGGCAAGGTGCGGGTGTTGGGCTTGGCGACTTGTCCGTGGAGATTGGTCGTCAGGTTTTGAGGAGCCAGTGATGGAAAGAAGAACCAGACTCTTTTTGCTAAAGGAGGTCTTCAATGCCATTTCTAGCCTGGCAGGGGAAACTAGACATAGACGTGCATGAACTTGAATGGCCGGTGGAGATGGCAATGGAAGAGAGGTCACATGGGTGGGAACAGAGACAGCGTCACTCTGTGAGAGGCAGAACAGCATAATGGAGAGGAATGAAGGAAAAATAGGACCTGTGTGGGCTGAGGAGAGGTTACATGGGAAACTGGGAGCCCAGGGGTGAGGTGGGAGAAGGGCAAGGCCAGCCAGTGGGTTCATCTGACTGCAGTGGGGAGAGTAGAGTGGGGGGTGGGGGTGGGGATGAGGCGGGGAGTCATGGACCAGGCTGGTGGTTGGTGGAGGGCCTTCATGACAGGGTCGGGAGTTTGGATTTTCTTATGGGGAATAAGAAGCTGGAGAAGGTTCTTGAGCAGGAAAGCAGGAAAGAGTAGAAGGTGATCGAGCATGAAGCTAGAAGATAAGCCCACGCATGTCTTAATCTGCGACAGAGTGACCTTCACTTGCATTTTACCTTTAAAGGCATTTTCCTTCCCAAGGATTACTTTCCTCCTAGCACAGGGCTCTAGCCCATGTAGGGGCAGTGTCCGCATCTGGGGTGGTCTGAGCACAGTACCATGCTCACGCCTGGGACTGTCCTCGGGGCCCAACATTGTTGGCCACCTCCTGTGAGTACTCACAGGGAGAGGGCTGCAACCACATTGAGCACCGTGCAAGGCCGCCATGTCTGGTGGGGCAGGTTGTGTCCTGTACAAGGGCAGGAGAGCGAGGACAGTTGAAATCTAGCCTGTGTGTGCTCTCCAAGCAATGTGCTCTGGCACGAGCTGCAGCCACCCGAGGAAGAGGCAGCTTTTTCTATTCCTACCAGGGCACCAGAAGGGCTGGCAGGGGACTGAACAAAAGAGCCAGTTTGCTAAAATCTCCCAAGGAGGCCGAGGGGAGCGAGGTACATCTTTAGTTCAATACCACTGATCTGGGTGACTAGGGCAAGGGCGGTGAAGTGTGGCGTCGGTGACAGACACCAGGGCAGGAAGCCAGACAAGAATGGGGGGCAGGAAGGGGGAGGGCAGATGCCCTGTGGCAACCAGAGCAGTCAGGTGACCCAGAGCCAAGCCTCCACCTGCCCAGCTGCTCATGGCTCCCCACCACCAGCAAAAGGGTCCCTGCTCTTACGGAATCCAGTCCAGTCAGGGGATAGGTAGTACACGTCCACACATAACTTACTATTCTTATTATATTGTTATATTATTCCTATACCATGCCTTTCATATTGTTTTATAATCATTTATTTTCGAGAGAGAGAGAGCATGAGTGGGAGGAGGAGAGGGAGAGAGAATCTCCATGACTAGCACAGAGTCCGACAGGGGGCTTGATCTCACGACCCCAGGATCATGACCTGACCTGAAACCAAGGGTCAGATGTTCAAGGGACTGTGCCAACCAAGCACCCCTTATCCTATTATTGTGTCAAAAGGATTCTATGATGAACAATAATGGGAAGAATCTAATGAAGCCTGGGGAAAGGACTTAGGCCAGCGGGTGAGCGCTCAGAATGGATCCACACTCGCCGGACCAGCGAGGAAGAGCTTTCCACGAGCTGGAAACGAGAGCTGGAAACGAGAGCTGGCCACTCCTGGGAGTGTAGATTAGAAAAGGCCAATGTGGCCTGAAACTGAGCAGACTAAGGGACGGAGCGGAAGAAAGACCGGAGATGTCAGTGGAATCCAGATCGCGTTGAAGCTGTGGTGAGAAGTACAGGATTCTGATTTATTTTAAGGGCACTGAGCAGCCACTGGAGTATTTTGCCAATGGGGGTTCACTGATCAGATCTGTGTTTTGAAAAGGTCACCATCGCTTCCTTATTCAGAATGGATGAGTAAAAGGCAAGAGTAGAAAAGGCAGCTGGGGGACCAGAGTCTGTTCGTGCGGTCCAGGCAGGAGGTGATGACTGGTGGAGGGGGACATGACCACCAGTACGTTCTGGAGATAAAAATGACCGATGAGCTGGAAGGGGTAAGGCATGACGTGAGCAGACTCCCCCACTTCCCCTCTAGACTCCTGACCCACGTGCTCTCCACAGAACTTCTCCAGATATTCTAGAAGCTGAGGCCCCTGGAAGGTCCCTTTCTACTCAGTAAGATGATCTAGAAAAATATGCAAACTCCCATTTGTTATGGCTACTGTGGTCCTACTTTGGCCTGACGAACATGGGTGCTTCTGGATTAAAAACCCACGTTCCTTAAGCTCCTGTCCATTGAGAGTAGGGAAAGGGGTTAATTCTACAGACCAGCAGAGGAAATACAAGCTTTTCATCTCAAGGATTTGCTTTGATAGGTTCATTTGAAAAAAAAATTATATATATATACATATATATGTATACACACACACATACATATATATCTCAAGCCACAGCAAGCGGCTTTCTGGTAGCTGTTTGGCTTTGCATAGAATATGTTCCCAAGGGTTTAATTACCAGTGAATATAAACTCTGGGTCTTGTTCCATTTTTACAAGCCATAAAAAAGCATGCTTGTATGGTTCCATGGACTGTGGGCTGTAACTTCTGTGCTGTGTAGCTCTCATTAGGGATGTAAATTCCATCCATAACCCAAAATAAGGAGAGAGGGATCAGCCCCATTAATGGTCACCCTCTATCCCAGCCAGAAGCACAGGCTGTGAGAAGCAGGGTCTGCCCACTGGGTTTCCAAGGTTTCTAGTCTTTTAGGATCCTCTGTGGAGGCTGGGGGCCATGGGATCTACATTCTCAGGAATAGTTTTCATTTCCCAAGGCTAAGTATCTGGGAGGGGCCCAAGAGAGGCCTCCTGGGATTATCTACCCCTGTCCCCATGGAGTCTGGCACATGCCTCGGACACAGCAGGCTTAACGGATGTTTGCAGCACGAAGGAGTGGCCTTTTGGATGTCAACTCATGTGCATGGAGTACAGAGTAGTCGACTCTGGGCCAAACTCACTTACCTCTTTTTGTCCAGTGGCTTGTAGAAAATGGCAATAATCATCTTGAATTGAAAGAAATTTGGCCTTTCCCATCCCTTCAGCATCCTTAAGGTTTGCCATGCTCTCTTGAAAATACTGCTCGGCCACATCTGAAGAAAAGCATCATAACGACATTGGAAGATTGTTTGCGGAGTTGAAATGGGGGCAGGATAAATATGCTTTTAGTGGTGCTGAACGATCTGACAAGAGGACCGAGCTAATCTGCCCGGTTTTTCAGGAAAGACTGAGGTCTCAGAAGGATACGGCAATTGATGTTCCTTGGTTTTCATACCAGCAACATGGTGAGCAAAGCTAATGCCAACAGGGAAAACATTCCCCAGACCTGGACACACTGGCAATGTTTTCAGGCTGATTAACCATTAATTCTTCCTGTAAATCTGGTTGTTGCTCACAGAGGGTAGGGCTTCCATGGACTCTGTTATCTTAGAACCTAGTTCTACAACATTAAAATTTGGGAAAATATGGCTGACACGCCACTGAAGGAAGATACCCAACCATTCCAAACACATAAACATACCGGTCATAATATGGTGAACATGTTTTTAAATGTATGCCAACCTTGAAAGCAAGAAAAGGAAAACCTCAGGTATAGAAAACGAAGAAGGAACTAGAAGCCAGAGCAGTGAGTGGGGGTTGAACCTGAGTGGTCCATCAGCATCTATTCTACAAGAATGAGCACTAGAGATGAGGCCTGAGGACTCAGTGTGGTAAGAAGATGGAATAGAGGGGTGCCTGGGTGGCTCAGTGGGTTAAAGCCTCTGCCTTCAGCTCGGGTCATGATCTCAGGGTCCTGGGATCGAGCCCCACATCGGGCTCTCTGCTCAGCGGGGTGCCTGCTTCCCTCTCTCTCTCTCTCTGCCTGCCTCTCCGTCTACTTGTGATCTCTCTCTGTCAAATAAATAAATAAAATCTTTAAAAAAAAAAAAGAAGAAGAAGAAGATGGAATAGAGCTCCCAACAAAAAGCCAGTGTGCTGGGTGGAATTCTAGGATGGCGCTGTATGCCCCTCGCCTTTGTCGAATCCCTGCCCTGTAATGGTGGGTAGGACTTGCCCAATAGGATGAGCTATTACTCCTGTGATGAGGTTATACGAAATGACATGGTTGACTTTAAGGAAGTGAGATTATCCCTTGGGCTTTACCGACTCACCTGATCCCATTCAAAGCCGAGTTTTCTCCAGCTGGTAGCAGAAAAGGCAGCCAGAGAGATTCAAAGCATAAGAGGGATTAGACAACGAGGTTCTCCATTGGTGAGATGGAAGGAACCATGGTATGAGGACCCAAGAGTGGCCTGTAGGTACCGAGGGAGGTCCCTGGCCAATAACCAGCAAGAAAATGGGGTTTTAAGACTTCTGACGTAAGGAACTGAGTTTCTTAGTTCCTTGGGTTCCAATGGGTTTAAGCAATTGTCATTGGTTATGCAGCAGAAGAAAACTAACACAGTCAGGAATCCCTACAATAAGATAAAAACAATTGTATGGTCCGAGATGAGGCCTCATAGTTGTCCCACCCACCAGAGGCCATCGGTGGCTAGAAAAAGAGCATCTGAAACGGGGATAGCATATATGAGGCAGGTACATGAGTGAGTTTCTTTTTTTTTTAGATTTTATTTATTTATTTGACAGACAGAGATCACAAGCAGGCAGAGAGGCAGGCAAGCAGGCTCCCCGCTGAGCAGAGAGCCAGATGCGGGACCCGATCCCAGGACCCTGGGATCATGACCTGAGCCGAAGGCAGAGGCTTTAACCCACTGCGCCACCCAGATGTCCCCATGAGTGAGTTCTGAATCAATATCAACTACTTGGTTTGGAAATTCTGAGCCGAGAAATTAACTGGGAATGAGTCTGAAACTGGAGAAATCATAGGGCTCCAGCACAGGCATCAGCAAACGTCTTCTGTGAAGGACCAGATGGTAAATCATTTAGGCTTTGGGGGGCACATGGGCTTGGTCTCAGCTATTCACCTCTGCTGTAGAGGCACCAAAGCTTCCATAAACGAATGGTAACACATAAATGAATGGACGTGACTGTGTGCCGGGAGAACTTTATTAACTAATACAAGTAGCAAGCAGGACCACCAACCCCCGCTCTGGCAGAGGAAAAGGCAGTATCTTCCTCTCCCGGGAACGTGGGACTCCCGCGGAAGCCCCTGCTGGAGACGACCTCACAGCGACACATGACAAACACGCATCATTTGCCGGAGAAGACGATGTCCCACGTGTACAGTGGCCGACTGGACATCGCCTCTTGGAAATCTCATGTGTATCGTTTAGTGCAAATGCATATGAGCAAGAAGATAAAACATAATCTTCTGCTTCCTTGCATTTCCTCTGCATCAGCTTATTTCCCCTTTATCACCTCCAATTTTGCATTTGTGCGTCCTTGCTATTTTCTTGATTAGATCAGCTAGTGTCTTCTCTATTTTAATAACTTTTCCAAAGAATCCCCCCCTTGAATTCATTTTGCTCCTTCTGTGACATGAATGCCAGGTGCTTCCAAAGAGGCCCGCATGAATACAGCATTCCAGAAGTCACGGAGGAACAGGAATTGGGTCATCCTGTCCAGAGAAGGTGTCTGTTCCTGAGGCTGCACTCAGAGGGGGCCTGGGTTCGGGTGCCGGCTCTGATGTCTAGTCGTCCAAGATGATTACTGCCATTTTCTACAAGTCACTGACCTTAGTGCCTCCATCTGGAAAGGGGGAACATAACACTAGCATCTTCTTTATAGGGTTGTCAGGAGTAAGTGGGTTCATGCATATAAACAACTGAGGACATGTCTAACCCCTAGTCCGTGCTTCGTAAATGGTCATCATTTGAATTCAGGGACAGCTTGGAGGATCATGGTTACGGACGACCTCTGTTGCCCATGCAAGGTTGACTAGCAGGGACACCAGAAGCAGAGGTGGACATTGAGACATTAACAGGACAGGAGCACTATGAAAATGAAGAGTGGTCAAAAGGCACAGAAGCCTGGGCTCATCGGCACCTTGTGCCCACCTCGAGAGTTTTGAGAACACTGAAATTCACACTGAGCATGTTGGTCTCAAGAAATGATTCAAGTACTCGCCATGTGATCTGTTTTAGAAAGGAGACACCTGCATAATGCGTCTACCGAATCTAGTTAACCAAGAGAAAAGTTAGGTCTGAGAACAAGTTAAGTTTCAGTTCTCTGCAAGACTTACTTTGCTTAGCACCTAGGTAGTTGCCGGACAGAAGCAGGAATTCTGTTGGGAGGGGAGTTTTCTGGAGAGGTGTCCACGCCAGCCGGCCCCCAGAGTTTGTAGCGAGACAGAAGTTGATTGAACTGGAATCCCCTGTTCCTTTCTCTCAGTGGGGGGGGAGGGGGGTCTGTCCCCTACTAGACCAGCAGCTGGACGTCTTGGGTATTTACTCAAAATTTTCTCTTGGTAGCAGACAATTCTACCAAGTAGAAAATCTCTTCACTTGTAGTGCACTCATGGAAGAAAGCATTACAGATTTAATGTGCAAACTAAGTATTAATTTTGGCTACTCTGATAATCTCATGACAGCAAATGTGGGGATGATGTCGCATTTATTTTGTTGATTTTAAAAGCATTACAGAGATGAACATTCCAGGTCTAAAAATTAACAGGGATATTTAGGAGTGGAGTGCTTTTGCTCTTTTAATAGTCTGTCTAACTGGGAATTAACCAAAGAATGCAACTGAGCCCTTCTTGAAGACCAAAGATCTTTCTGAGTCTCAGCCTTGTTCCCCTGAGATGAGTCCTTACCGTAAAGACCCGCAGATGTCAAGCATATAGGAAGCGGTTGGGGCTGGGCGAGCAGGGACTGAGTTTCAGACTTTGGGCTTTGGCAGAAGTGGTGCCCTACTCAAAGGAGGAGGCAAAAGGGATGGAAATAGTTCCTTCCTCTTTCTGAGTAAGGAGCTGGTCTCTCAGACACAGGAGGACGCAATTGAGCTTGTTACCTTTCTAGCCCCAAGTCCTGCTACTTCTTAATATCCCTTCCCCCAGGAGTCACATGCTGACCAGCTGCCCCTCTAGAGGGTACCCCATTTAAGCCGGTCCCCTAGACCCGAGAGCCACCTGCTCCTTTCCCTTAGTGTAGCTGATCTCACAGAGATGCTGGGAGAGAGGGAGCCAATTGGCCTAACTCAAACTAGTACATAAATGGCTCAACCTTGGACTCAGAGAGGCCTGAGTATGCTTGTTAGCACATGTGGATTTCTGGAAGAGGGAGTGAGAGTGAGGGAGAGGAAGGAAGGGGAGAGAGGAAGTGATTTATTTATTAAGGCAGCGGGGTTACTGACGTGAACACAAGCCTGGTGTGGTGGTGGTGGGGCATCAGAGACGGGCCCTGCCCTGGAGTCTGCCCTCTGAAGGTGCTGCCTGCAAGGTCACTGGTCAGACGGGGTGAGGGTGGGGGAGGGGTTCTGTGACAGCTGTTGGCCCATATAAGTTGGCCACACATCAGGCATCCTGTCGGGGCCCTTGTAGATCAGAAGAGCCTTCAGTTTGGGAACAGAAGAAGGTGTTGGGCATGCCCTGTGGGTGGGTGCCTTCCCTGTCTCTAAAATTTGAAATGACTTTTATTTTTATCTAGGATACAGGAAAACTCCTTTACTGCAAGACTCTCGTGTGTTTCCCTCACCTGTTTAACTCCCAAATTAGGTGTCTGACCTGCGAACCACATGATCAGTCTTCGTGGGGAGAGCACAGTTGTCCTGTCACTACAGCTAAGGAGTGACTCCCTGATGAGCAGTCTGTTCTTCTGGGAGTGGGCATCCGCCTGGCGGTCCATGGTGGGCAAGTGATTTCCATGGAGATGGAAGGTCAAGCAGGGTGGGGAGATGCCGCGCCCCAGCCCAGACCTCGTGCCCTGAAGCCAGGTGTGTGTTCACACAGAGCTGGCCATTTCAGTGCGCTCACAATGGCCACCCCCAGCTTGGAAAACCTCTTCTAGAATCATCTGCAACCTGACGCCAGTGGCCTTGGCAGAAGATGAGGTCATTTTCTAAAGCACAGAAGCATGACTTAGCTTGTAAATCCGAGCCCGGGCGGCACAGGTGTCCCCAGGTCAGGAGTCCTCTCCCGTTTCCACTGCAACACAAT